TCACTACTGAGATAACAGTCAGCCCTCTTCTACCACTTCGGATACCTTCCCTGACCTTGATTTCCCTATTGCCCTTCGCAAAGGCAAACGGAAATGCACAACTCATTGTATTTCCAAACACCTGTCCTACAACTTCCTTTCCCCTTCCTACTATTCCTTCCTTGCTTCTATTTCCACACATGTAACTCCCTGGTCTGTCCCAGATGCCTTGTCCAAACCAGAATGGAGAGATGCTATGATGACTGAACTAGATGCTTTGCATAAGAACAATGCCTAGGAAATTGTGGTTTTGCCTGAGCGAAAGGAACTGGTTGGCTGTAAGTGGGTGTTCACTATTAAGTATTATCCTGATGGTACTGTTGAGAGATATAAGGCCCGTTTGGTTGCTAAAAAATATACTCAGATGTATGGTATTGACTACTTAGAAACTTTTGCCCCAGTAGCCAAGATAATTTTAGTTCGAGTTTTGCTATCTTTAGCTATTGTTTTTGACTGGCCTCTTCATCAATTTGATGTAAAGAATGCCTTTTTGAATGGGGACCTAAATGAAGAGGTCTATATGTCTTTACCTCCAGGGGTGTATGGGAAGGAGATGCAAGGAAAGGTCTGTAAACTGAAGAAGTCTCTTTATGGCCTTAAGCAGTCTCCTAGAGCCTTGTTTGACAGATTTCGGGCTGCTCTTGTTGCTTTTGGGTACACACAGACTCAGTCGGATCATACTTTGTTTGTTAAGAGGAGAGATTCCTTAGTGACCCTTTTGATTGTCTATGTTGATCATATTGTGGTTATAGGAAATGATACTCAGGAAGTTGTTCATATCAAGAGTTTTCTTAACACTGAGTTTGAAATTAAAGACTTGGGAGAACTCAAATATTTCTTGGGATTTGAAGTTGCCAGATCTAAGGATGGTATCTTCATTTCTCAACGGAAGTATGTTCTTGATCTCCTTGTAGAGACTGGGAAACTGGGGGCTTGACCTGCTTCTACTCCTATTGACCTAAATCATAAGTTGTCAGCTATTGAAAGTGAACTGTTGCCTGATAAGGGGGTGTTCCAGAGACTGGTTGGGAAGTTACGTTACCTTTGCATGACTCGGCCAGATATTTCCTATGCAGTTAGTGTAATCAGCTAGTTTATGCATTCTCCCAGAGATACACATTTAGCAGCTATTGAGAGAGTTCTGTGCTATCTAAAAGGGATTCCAGGGAAAGGTATCTTGTTTGCTAAGCATGGACACATGAAGCTGGAAGCATACACTGATGCTGACTAGGCCGGATGTATTGATAATAGGAGGTCTACTTTAGGTTACTTTGCTATGGTAGCAGGGAACATTGTATCATGGAGGAGTAAGAAGCAGTCTGTAGTGGCAAGATCTTCAGCTGAAGCGGAATACAGGGCAATGGCACATGGAGTTTCTGAACTTTTGTGGTTGAGATCACTTTTAGATGAATTGGGTATAGACTNAAGATCTTCAGCTGAAGCGGAATACAGGGCAATGGCACATGGAGTTTCTGAACTTTTGTGGTTGAGATCACTTTTAGATGAATTGGGTATAGACTATGAGAGGCCAATGATGTTATATTGTGACAACCAGGCTGCTATCAACATTGCACACAATCCTGTTCGACATGACAGAACTAAACACATTGAGGTTGACAAGCATTTTATACGAGAGAAAGTTGCCTCAGGAGAAGTCTGTCTACCATTTGTTGCTTCTGAAGAACAGTTGGCTGATGTTTTGACAAAAGGTGTTTCTAAAGGAAAGTTGGTTCATTATATAAGCAAGCTGGGCATGATGGATATCTATGCTCAGCTTGAGGGGGAGTGTAGGGAGATTGGGCCGAATGGGCCCTAGCCCATTAGTGTCTTTCTTATTAGTTCTTTCATGTTTGTTTTCTTATTGGGCCTTTTCTTTATGTGCCTTTAGCTCTTTTTATGTTTTTCCAAGTTTAGTGCTGATGTGGACGCCTACTTAAGGGCCTCCTTGTAATTTATGTAACTTAAGTAAGTTTTATAAAAGATTAGAGTAGGGGAAAGAGG